TGGATTCTTTTGTACATTGAGTTTCAGAGGTCTGGTGTGATGGTTAATTTTACGTGTCAACTTGAAGGGTGTCTGCAGATGAGGTTAACTTAAATCGATGATCTTTGGGTAAAGCTGATTGCGCTTCATTATGTGGGTGGGCTTCATTCAACCAGTTGCAGGCCTGCCTAGAACAAAAAGAGACCTCTACCCTTCCCCAAAACCTTCAGCAAAAGAATTCTCTAGCAGATTGTCTTCAAATTTAGTCTATACCATCAGACATTCTGGGGCTCTAGGTTTCTCCACCATCTTCACTCATAGGTCTTGAGCTTGTCACCCTTTATTGTATGAGCCAATACCTTATCATCTCCCCCATCCCCCCATTTGTTCTGATTTTACTGGAAGCCTAATATATCTGGGAAGGACTTGAGATTCTGTATTATTAGGACACTCCTAGATGATTCCATTGGATATAGCAAGGTTATTGAGAACTCAGGCCAGGGAATGATTTCAACAAATTTGAAAGATGTTAAACTGGGGACCAGCACTTGGCATAAAGGCTATGTTGCTGGACTCCCATGTAGCCGACCGCGGTTCGAGTTCCGGACCTGGTGGCTTAAACTCATGCTGGGCCCGTGTGCATGCATGCCCAAGATCTGGAGAGGAGACTAGAGGAGAAGGGATCATAGCGTGGCCATCCCCCTTGGGGGGTGATTTCTCACTTTCTCTCTGTCTTTCTGGTGAGCACATGTGCCCTATAGCAAAAACCTCTCAAAAAAAAATTTAATCTGGAGATCCTTTTTTTTTTTTAAAAAAAAAGTACATGATATGTTTGTTACAACAAATTAATTAGCCAATATTGATAGATTATTATTAACTGTACATACTTTATTCAGAGTTTTAAAGTTTTTTTTTTTTTTTTTCTCTAGAGGGCATGTGCATTCACCAGAGACACACAGAACCCTCAGCAGAGCTTGGTTATGTTGCAGTACTTTTTTTGTCCATTTCTACATCTTGTCAGGATCTCGGACACGTGTGTCTTGTGTATTGTATTATTCAAGCCTCTGGGAAGGGGACTCCCATGGTGGGTTGACCATGTTGGCTCTGAGACCTCATGTACTGTGCTTAATTGCTCTGTTATAAGTCTGCCTATGTCTTCCTTTTTTGGGGGTGGGGGAAACCTGAATTTATTTATTTTTAAAGAGCGATTTTTGCTATAGGATGCATGTGCTTGCCAGAGAGACAGGGAGAGACAGACAGAAAATGAGAGATCACCCCGCAGGGGGATGTCCATACCACAATCCCTTCTCTGTTCTCCTCTTGGAATTTTGGGCACGCACTCACACGTACCCAGTATGAGTTTTAAGCGGCTGGGTCCAGGACTTGAACCACAGTCGATTATGTGGGAGTCCATGCTGTAACCATTATGTCATTTGCTGGTCCCCCTATTTTTTCTTTTTTTTTTAGAGAGGTTTTTGCTATAGGGCATATGCACTCACCAGACAGACAGAAAGAGAAACAGAAAACGAGAAATCACCCTCAAGGGGGATGGCCATGCCACAATCCCTTCTCCTCCGTTCTTCTCTCAGGATCTTGGACATGCATGCACACGTGCCCGGTGTGAGTTTTAAGCCACCGGGTCTGGGATGCAAACCGCAGTCCACGTTGACTACATGGGAGTCCAGCAACATAGCCATTACGCTAACTGCTTGTCCCTTTTGAAAAAACATACACACACACACCTACACACACACATTTTTTTTTTTTTTTGGAGAGATTTTCACTGTAGGGCGCGTGTG